GCGGATGCTGAGAAAAATTACAAGTAAAACGCTAAGGGATAAAGAACCTAATATTAATATAAGACAAACTTGCCAACTAGATATAATCTCAGACTGGGTTCGAGAAAGAAGAAAGAAATGGAATAACGATATAGACAGAATGAAAGAAGACAGACTGGTGAAAGTGACTAGAGATAGAAGACCGGAAGGAAGGAGAAGAGTAGGACGTCGAAGAACTAGGTTGAAAGACATTTTGTGAAACAAGACAGCATGAATATAGTGCCAATTTATAAATATGACTACATAAATGTAATGTATCAGATTTTTTAAATTTTAATTAAGTATCCTTTGTAAAGAAATAGGCTCTAGCCTAAAATAAAAGTAAGAAGAAGAAGTCTATATTTGTAATCCATTTCAACCAGCAAGTTAAAATCTTATTTGGAGCTTTGAAAGAGTGTTGTGAAGTGAAATTTTAGATGTGAATTGAAATTTAAAATGTGTTGTCATGAAGAAAAAATATTTCGTAATTGTAAAATGTATAGCTTTATATGGCATAGTCAAATTGTGTATATATTTGTGCTTTGACTTTAAAAAATTAATCAATGCCAGCAAAATTATTCCCTAGAGATTGAAGTGTACCGCGGAACTATAATCTTATGAACCACGAGAAATACTGAACCGAATCAGTGAACCAAGGGAATCGGTGCCACCCTAAACTGCGGGTCAACCCATAAAAAGTTAATGAAACATTATGTTATACGAACGTTATGCAAACATTTTAATACGAATCGAAAATTGGAAAAGGTATACTTCTTTTACATTGTTATATTACATCACCATACAATGATATTTCTGTTCAATAACATAATAACAAAATATAGTTGGCAGCGAACAGAGGCTGAGGAGTTGCCGAAGTAATTCAAACATAATTATGTACTACTTTTGAATTGGAATGATTGAAATGATCCAATCTCCCTATATATAGGAGAAAAACAGACTTTCAACCTCAGACAACGGATATGTAGGCAATAATCAGACGTTGAACATTATCAGGTAAATACACTAGTAAATATTTGCAAGATTATTGTTTCGTAAAGAAACAAAAACCCAACTTTTCTAAAGAACATTTCTAAGTGACAAAGGTGTAGAGTTTTAGTAGTGCACTCGGTCAAATGTGTTTGCAAATGATACGTCATACGCATTTGTAGCTGATATTATGTTTTAAACACCTTTTGTGTTGACAATAAAACGAGCGAGTCTCCGGGACATAATCTTGGTCTTATAATGTTATGAACTTTTGCATTTTACTAGATTCATATTATTGGAGGTAACGTACGCATTTATATCACGGCGGTAAATCGGCAATACATAGAACATGTTATTTAAATGTAGTCTTTGACCAACTCTTAACACGTTAATTTTAAGGATTCAAATTGAACAGATGTAAATAACGTTGACCTCATACCGTGAGTCACTTGGGAGATCGAAACCAAACAATATCATTAGTGTACGCTCTCTCGCAATCAAGGAGATTTGGTGTAGATGTCAAACACTAGTGCACGAGGAATTCCGTTCAAATCAGAGAGAGTAAATGTCTCGTGTAACTTCTTTATATAAGATTTCTTCCCATTAAATGTTCAAGAGGGTTATCATCTTTGAGCTCTTTCATGCCTCAAACGTTTATTATCTTCATTCTTAGACAATCTATTTATCAGGTTACCGCTGTCACCTTCGGGACTAGAATCTCTCTGCGTGGTCCCAATTGCGAATTCAAAGGGCATACGCCAATGAACATGGTTCTAACTGATAAGAAATGTGAGCCCTAAACATGGGTTTCCATGGTGATTCGTTTTGTTATTGGGTATCAGGCGAAAGTCAATGCCACCTAAAACATCAGGCCTATTGGCAGGCGGCCATCTTGCTTCTGACGACACAACTTGTAGTCATAACATTGCATTTGGGCAAATGTGTGGTCTACGCGTGCATCAGTGTGAACTGCTAATGTCGTATATATAATTATATGAGAACAGTGTTTTTATTCATTTTATGGTGTAATAATGTCTATGCTTTAAACTTGTGCGAACAGAACTTATTTGTAGCAGAGCAATTTTGATACAGAGCACTTGTAACAAATTGTAAAAACGTCACAAGGTCGAGTCACGTGAAGTTGCCGTGCACTTCTGCATTGAAATTGGTTTCTACAAAATTCAATACTCCGAAAGTGGAGAAAAATTCAGAGTATGCGTTGAAGATAGGAATGACATTGTTTCTCGAATGAAAATGACAAGAATGTGGTTTACTTAATAGATGAAATATTCTTGATGTCAAACTGAGACTATAAGGGAGAAACTACCGTTAAAGAAGAAGTATCTTCGGAACTACCATTAAAAAATTCATCAACAGCTTGTGTGTTCATGGTAACTAGTATGTGTTCAGCATATAAAAATGTAGTTCATAAATGTCCGGTCAGATAGTTGACATGTGCGTTGCTTAACTCCTATATCAAAAACCTAATAATTGCAGGACTTCAAAAGATTGGTTTTGAAGTGATTGCAGTGATTTCTGACAACAATCCTGTAAACCGAAAAGCCGTGTCATTGTTTTCTGATCCTCCAAAACTAGAAATACCTTATGAATGTCCATGTGAATTCTACAGAAAATTTCTTTTTTCTTTTGACATTATGTACCTCTCAAAGTGCTTAAAAACTGGTTAAATCATGATAACCAAGAAATTAATTTTCCTAATATGGAAAACGGTGTAATGCATGCAGGATCATTTAGTTGCCTCATTTAGTGCGGCTCTGGGTGCACAATAATTTTAAGTATGGCAATACTTTAAATTTAAAATCGTTCATCTCTTTTTAGATTAAATTAACTGTTAATTGAATGAAATACATAAAATGTTGAGATTTTTTTCTGTAAAGCATCGTTATTAAGGCGGCCAAGAGGGTAAGTAAACGTTAACTGACAGTGAGCAGCCGGCGAAAGATTCATTTGCCGCGATGACTACCCATGTGACGTCACAGCGGCAGTCGAGAGGCCTTATATTAGTGTCTAGGTGGCATTGACTTAGTCCTTCGGAGTTCAGGAAAGCATTCACCCACAATTTTTGAAATGTGTAGTCTGAGGGTTCTTGGTTGGGTAGTGTGCGAATCTTGAGAAGTTCCTGGAGCAGGTATCGTCAACGATACCTGCTCCATTCTTCTCGCAGTAGCACAAGAAGCAGAGGCGACTGATTCATAACCGGTACGAATCAGGTACGCGAACTGATGAATGCCAAAATGTAGATGTGGCCATTTATGCGAACAATTGCATAATGGCAGTACATTTGGACTATAAATGAGGAATGTGGCTAAATGATTAACATATTTGCAGTCGGAGGGGCGCGAGTCAATCTCGCGAGCCGTGCTCGCTGGTGTATGCTTACCTCGCTAGTGAGCGACCAATCTAATTTCGCGCTGCTCATTGCTATGTAAAATATGCCACCGCCACTTCCTACTCTGTAGTGAGAATGCAGGCAGGCGCGTACAAGCTCGTTGATGTAGGGGCTACAGAATCCAGGGCTGCTCAATCGAGCGACCACTTGGTGCGCCCTGGCCCAGCACTAATACGCGGGCAATCGCCGTGGTGTGCTGCTGTCGAGTGAATCCAACAGGAGAGGTGGGACACTAAGACGATCGTCTAGTGTGGAGGAATGCGAGTGATTCGGGTACGTGTGGGGAAAGGAGAGTGATTCACCATCAACTGCAGCGGGCCGGCAAGGACACTCGCCAAAATTTTTGCATTTGATTGATCCACTAATTGATTATTTCCGGGCGCAACTGCATCGGGAGTTATTCTCGTAAATGTAGTGCTTATTGTATATTGAGAGGGGGCGGTGTTCTTCCGCTGCTGGAACGTGTGTTCCGGTGCCGACCTACACGTATCCTTCCAAGATGTTTCCCACTCCAGGTATAGGGTACCGCTCCCAGGTGGGATATACTCCTAAGCTTCCAACTGGCTTCCCGATGCACGGGGTAGTACAGTGCATGTAAGTATAGGAGTGTCAGTACGGGGAGGCCAGTTTGTTACGGTTCTGGTTCGGCTATCACCATGTACTGACCAGAATTCTACGAGAAACTAGTTGTTGGGAGCAACTGGACAAAGAATTCTCTTTCAGATAGCGGCTGAATTCGACCTAGCTATCTACCTAGTGCCGTGAATTCGCTGCTGTCGAGACTCGAACCCTGTGTCCTCGGTCATAGACTCCGTCGAGATGCGAACACTAGTCAGAGATAGTGCAGAGAAAATCGACGTTGCACGTTGCAGCGCTCCAAACGGACGCCTCAGGTGCTGAGTGGCGGCGGCTTGTTTTGATTGATTGAACAGTTAGTGATTCCGGGCTCGTCAAAGGCTAAGGTAGCCCGTAAGTGTAGCGAATGTTTTTACTTGAGAAGTGACGGTTGATCAGCCCCTAGATGATGACTTCCGCCGCCAACCTACCGTCGGCTACCGGGGTTTTCCCCAACCAGGAATCTGCCACAAATGGGGCACCGCCCAACCCAAGTCCAAGATCCAGACCGGTATCCCGGCATGTGTGGTAGTGTAGTGAATGTTAGTGTAAGTGTCTGTAAGAAAAGGGTGAAGTCATAGCAAGGAAGAGGATGCAAAGATTGAGTGCGATCTATGGCCTGTTTGTTAAGGTATTGCTCCGACATTTCTGGTAGTAATCGGAGAAACCTTGGCAAACTACAAGTCAGAGCAGCCAGCCGCTAGAATTCTTCAGACAGCGACTGAACTCGACGAAGCTATCTAAGCTATACCAGAAAAATCCTCCATCTCGGTACTCGAAACTCATACCTTCCGTCAGCGAGACACATGTGATTATCATTGATTGCCCTGAGCCACATCTCCTGCTCTTTGCATATTGACCCGTATGCTGTCTCACCTCCACGGCGTTTGAGCGCCGTTGGCCGTTCGACTGCGCGGCGCCGCGGGGGGGAGGCGCACGGCAGGTGCCGCACGACCCTACGCGGAGCCTCCGCGCCGGGCCGACGCGCTGGATGCCCATGGTTGCGTACGTCAGGCGGACCGTCGGACCGATCGCGAGCTGGCGGTGCTCCCAGTGACGTCGCCAGCCGTCGCCCCGTCGCCTTCTCTCTCCAGGCGTGCTAGCTGCTCGCGCTGTGGCTGGCCGCCGCCGCCGCCCCCGACGCGGCCCAACGCACCCGGTACACCACCCGCTTCGACCACATCGACCTGGAGCGCATCCTGTCGTCGCGCCGCCTCGTCGCCAACTACGTGGACTGCCTGCTGGGCCGCAAGCGCTGCCCGCCGGAGGGCGCCGAACTCAAGCGTAAGCCACAATCACTGTTATTAGGCGCAGGGTTCCTGGGGTTGTCCTGATATTTTTTTTCCCGCCCCGCCCGCTTCGCCAACCCCGCCAGCACTGCTTGCTCCCTGTTTGCTGGGATGGCTCAGAGGTATCATTGTCTTTCTCTATGCACCCTCGCCGCCGGTAGATCCTAGCATTCTAGTACCAACACTGACAGATATGTTACACTAACTAGATCGCTAAGCCGAGTGGAAGGGAATTCTAGCGGTCGGTTGCTCTGATGGGTAGTTTTCCGTTGTTTCTCCTATCAGAGACAGGCGAATGCTGTGGTTGTACCGTAGTAATTAAGCCAAGGACCGCTCGCGATCTCTTCTTCCTCATCTTTGTCCGTTCCTCTCCCTTTATATCTATACCCTTCAACTTACGGTCAATACCCTACCACACATTTCGAGAGGCCAGTCGGAAGCTTAGTGCATGATCCGTTCGGTGCGGTGTTACGTCGGGGGAGATATTTGGAAGGAGAAACCTCGCAAGTTGACCTGTAGGTCGGTGTTGCATCTCACGGTTCGGCGGAAGAGAAACCCCACCAACTCCATGGACATAACGTACGGAACTATTGACTACAGCACTTGATACGTTCCGAAACACTCGATTATCAGTCAACTGGTGGTGCATGAGAATTTCATTCTCTTCCTGCCTCGCCTGCTTCTTCCCCCGCCAGCAGCGCTTCGCCCGCCTCGCCCACTTCCCCTGCCCCGCTCGCTGGACTTATCTCGCTCACTACGCCCTTTCTGCCGGCCCCCCTCGCTCTGCCCGGCCTTGTTCAGCGTCAATCGCAATGCTCCGTTACAATGTCGCCTAGATGAATGCTGGTTGCATTAGAATTTTGTAAAACACCCGTGAAACTAATAAAACAGCCAACCGCAAACCCTCGGAGTCTCAAATAATTTGCACACATTTTGGAGTAATCGAACGAATGTTTCAAACGTACTTGTAGAAAATACATCCACACGTACATTTACTTTGTATATTAGATTACCTTCAGCCCCATTCAATCCTCTTCGGGATGTTTGCGTCGTCTCCACGGGGGGATGCTTGTTACGAAGGAGAAGATAAGAGACGTAGAAACGTACTCATACTTGGCTGAATTGAAGGATAATGACGTCAAGGGAAGGGGAAGTAGTGCTGGAACCTTGACTGCATTTGTCTGAAAGTGATTTGGGTAGCCTACCTACGAACTCCACCTCAGTAGGCGCTGATGTGTAGCACATCAAGCAAATGAAGCGTTGTCTTAATTCTCGCTTATGCTTACGCGTGTCTCATAGTGAGAAACATCTGACGTACGCCTCCGATTCTCTATTTTGGTGGTGCAAGGGGTGGATTAGCGTTGTAGTACGCAGGGCCGAAAGCGTTGGGTTGGAATTCCGTATGAGACACGGGTGCGTTTGTGGCAAAATGTGGCTTGGTGTGTTTGTGTGCATGGGATTGTAGCAGAGTAGGCTTCTCATGCAATCACATCTGAAGTACCATCTCTTTCATCGTCATTCACATCGTCAAGTTTTCTGTGATTTCCTGCTCAAGGAAGAGAGGGCATTACGATCAAGTCTCTCTTCAATTATTCTTTTCTTTCTCTCGGCTTCTGAGAATAGAACTCATCAGTACCTTCACGAGACGTTTACTCACTTCACACACCTCATCCTGCATGTTATTCAACATGTTTTCTTCTCTACGTCTTCAAATTTCTGTCTTTCGTTCTGACTATGCCAATTCCACTTCATTAAGGCTCGTGATTTATTGGCTGCGGTACTGAATTAGACAGTGCGTCTTTCATCTTCCTCTCTTTCTCAATGTGGGCGGACCCACAGTTACGTACCTCTCTTCCGGTATCCGTCGCTCGTGATTCTTTAATGTGTTTGTCTCTGGTGACAACACTTATTTTCAACGCCCTTATGCACTTCATTATTCCGAAGCTTATGAAGTCGTTATAGACCTTATAATTTCAAGACCATTCGTTTTCGCTGTATTTTCCTATCTACTGAGTAAATTATTGAAAGTAACTGCCTGATCGTAATTCTTCCTTTCTTTCTGTAAATGCAGATGTCTTTTAAAAGTCTCACTGAAAATAACTGACACGGTGCAATTCTTTATAATACATCCTCATCTTTTTGACAAAAAGAATGAAAATAAGAGTTAATGACGAAGGTCACTGAAGGGGTAGTGGATATCTGCGAGTAAATATTTGACATTCATAATCTCAATACTACAACTTTGAAATTACATGTATGTCAAAGGTGCATCTCAATTTAAAGCGGATTGTAAAAGGCAAATTATTATGTACTTTCTTTAATTGCATCATTACGCAGAAGAATCTCAACAACGTTTATTCTGACACACTGCAGTCCCTTGAAATTGCGTGTTTTTCTCCTATTCCCCACATTTAAGGTAATTTGTAAATTGAAACATAATTTTAAAAAAATGAATGCGTTAAGGAATATAAATGAAATAATGTTATTAGTACAGTTACCTTAAATTTTATTCGCAGTAATATTGTTCCAAGTTCTTTCAAATCTCTTTTCTCATAACTAGTATAAAATATATCTAACTATGTTCTAATAATTGCCTATGTAGAAGATAATTTCTTCATAGTCTACTTACCGAAATTATCTAATGTAAAATTGTGAAAGACTGGGGGAAAACGTTCATTGTTCTCTTACTGGGTGTTCGTAGCGTATGTAGAAGAAAAATAATTCTTTAATTTCAATTGTCGGATTCTCCATATCTAGGAGAATCGAAATTTGTCAGTTTTGAATATGTTATGGTAATAACAAATTGAAAGACAGAGAAAAAAGAATTAATTGTGGAATATAGAGTAAGAAAGAGAACTGCGTCTTGGCAAGAAGGCCACTGCAATCACTGCGTTGGAAGGAAAAGTAGTTGTCCTTAAGCTTTACGAAACATGGCTACCTTCTCGAACACAGAGATCGGAATAGCCTCTGGAAATAAAACAACATGCCAGCGAGCGGTCTCGTAAAATTCGTACTGTACGATGTATTTGTTCTGTAAGAAATAAATAATTGAATAGTTGGGACTTAAAGTATTACAAGCCTTAAAATTGTAGTTTTTATATTACTGCAATATTTTTCTTTGGTCATCTGTTAACGATGCAGAACGATATGGACATTCAATTTATGGCTAATTACTGGTTCCCTGATTTTTGTCATTTTTATGCTATCCACTTCAGCTCCTTAATTCAAAATGTTCAATATTCCAACAGCATGAGTTATCATGATTTACAATTACACTTTTCAGTTAAGAAATATTGGCATTGACTAATAGGTTTTCACCCTTATAATTTTTTATACAATTTGATTCTCCTGTGATTCGGCGATAATCCTATTAAACAGAAATTATTTTAAGATGAAAAAATATTGTATTAGACTTTAATTATTTGACCTCATCGTTTACTTGTGATTGAGATTTTATTGATTTGAATGTTAGAAAAGCCTTTTCAATAATTCCGCAATTGTATTAATATTATTTTCATAACCCACGTCTCCATGTTTCAATATTCGAGAAACGTCTCAATGTATTTTTATGCGAAAGTGTCTTTGCCGATTATTTGAGCTGTTACACGTGCAAATGAAAACCAAACGGAATCGATCATGAGTGAAACTGTTTCAACGTCAAACATTCGCTCTGTACCCTCAATCACAATAAAAGTACATCCGGAAATATACGTTGTTGAAATGAATGCTGGATTGAAATGCTTTGTGGAGGGCATTGATTGCAAAGAAAAAATGTACAAAAATTAACTCGGGAATGGGAGTAATAATTGCGTACTTTAATAGAATCTGCCACATCGCGCAGAGAAATTGCAAAGCTTCCTAATGGTGTCTTGTAATAACGCACTTCTTAAGGGTTCAATATTCTCCTTCGATATTACTCCAAATTTGCGAATAAAACTGAGGAAACTCTCGCAAAGCAGCACGGAGGACTTGTATCTGGCTACGCGACTGGTCATGATACAATTCATTAAACAAAATTTTCAATAGCTTCAAGGAAAGATAGCGGAATGGCGATCCTAAAGGAGTAGAGTTTAGGCTCGGACTCAACCCAAATGGCAAAGCCAGTTGGTAAAGAACTTCACGGACATCCCGTTAGTCTGTGGCAAAGTAGCGGTGGCTCTTTATGAAGACCAACAGTGATCGGCTGTTGCCCAATCCTGTAACACCACCTGGGGCTTTTGACGTGACTCTACTGCACGTTCGGTTGGCACTGCACGCGTTGCCTGTACCACGTATTCGTCAATTGTCGCGACTAGGACAAATGCGGGTCTCGTATCCCTTCTTATTAACTCAGCGTGACGCTTTAACGGCCAGTAGACCCCATAAGGCGTTCGACGTCGATTTTATCGATTGGGTCGTCGTCGTACGCCTAGCGGTGTACATGAACGTGGTCCTGCGTCGTGCACACGTCTTGCAACGGAATTGCACATGTCAAATTCGTGGAAGTTGGGCCACTTCGCAGATATACGACACAATATCCAGACGGTTCTCCCACTTTCTCAAAACATTTCTGCTTCGCTATAACTAGATCCTACGTGTTGATTGCGTCCAACACTTCATCACCCGAACCGGCTGCGATGGCTCAAGGGCGGGATTGTCGATTTTTCTGTCGCGTCACCTTCCGTGGGTTCTAAAGTGTACCAACGGTGATGATTATCGGCACTGGTTACAGAGACACGTCGAATTCAACTACTTTCTGGAGGAGCGTTCTATCGACTGGCTGCAATGGTCGGTAGTTCTATGCGTTTTCTCAGATCCACGGCCGGTGCAAGCGGAGCGGTATCTTAATCACGGGCCCGCAATCTTTCTTCCTTCGTCCTTGTCTCCTCTGCCCCGTTACCCACATATACACCTACATACACTATACTACCACACATATCAGAGGACCGGTCGGGAGCTTGAGCTAGCCGTGGCTGGGGCGGTGAGCCGCAGGGGCAGATACCTTGAGAGGGAAAC